ACCGTCTAATGATGACAAAGTCCATGTTCTGGTTTGTGTCTGTTCTGGAAACGCAGCAGAAATCTCGGACTCAGTTTTAGAGAAGATGAGGGAGATCAGAGAAGCAGCCAGCGACCTGGGTAAGAGCAGACAAAGGCTGGTGTGGGCAGGTTTAGTCAGTGAAGCAGATCTGTGCAAAACAGTTGAGAAAAATCCTGGATTTTTACTTTATTTTTCAACAACGGCAGGTATTCCCCAACTGGTTGTTGTCACCAAACTTGATGAAGCCTGTCCTGAAACTGAGAAGAACCTGCAGAACATCTACAAGAGCAAACATGTAAAGAAAAAGGTAGGTTTCATCTGGATCTCTTCAGAATGTGACCCCAAAATCCTGAACGTCAACTGAAATGTTGCTTCTTTTAAACTTAGATGACGGACCTGAGCTCTGAACTGGGGATTCCGCTCAACTGCATCCTCCCCGTGAAGAACTACAGCAAGGAAATCAGAAGGGATCCAGATGTTGATACTCTGATCCTGAACGCGCTGAAACTGATTCTTGACTTTGGAAGTGACTACATTGAGAAATTGCCAGACAAATAACAAGTTCACCAAACCTCTTTAGCGTATATTAGAGTATATTTAGCGTAACATTAACGCAAGAATTATTTTACAAGCTGAAGCAATTCCTTTTCTTCTTATTATTATCTGAACAAATCTCTTTGGTAGTAGCTTTTAATTTTAGCAAAATGCAGCCAAATGTGTGTAAACGTGTCAAAATTAGGATTTTATATTCGTTCCTTGTGTGACAACAGAAAAATATGTGAATGAGAACAGCTTTATTGGGGATTCGGCTTTTAAAATAGTCTATTTGAGCAGGAGAGAAGTAAACCATGTCTGTGCCGACAATCTCCAGTCTTTGTGTTGCTTGTGCTGCTGTGAACACTTTACGAATCGTTGTTTAGCTCTGTGATCATTTGAAACACTGCAACACTTGCTGCAGACAAACTACACTTCCTGTGCACGTCCTCCAAAGCATTATGGGAACTGTAGTTTCAACACTGAGAACACTATTAGCCCCAAACTCATAGTAAAGCTAAATAATAACAAAAAAAATGTACAAAATGTATTAGTGTATTTTTTATCAGCTGGTTTAAAACTGCCTCATAAATTTTAAGTTATGTAACTTATAAAAAACAAACAAATGCACAAATATCTCCGTACTGTTTTTTTTCATTCTCTTGTACTGTGCCAGTTGTATGAGATGCAGTTTGAATCACAAATGCAAGTGTTAAGAAGCAGTTAATAAGTCAAACAGCCCATTGGAGGGGTCTTACTGATGAGTTACAGAGAAACAAAAAGTGTGATGAAGGAGGATTTTACCTTATCTGGCAACCCAGCTGTTGTGGTTCTGATTATCTATAAATCATGAGTAAATTGTGTATTAACCATTAATAAAGTCATATATTAAGCTTTCTGTGTTTCAGAGTGATTAATAGAGTCTTTTAAACCAGTCTAAGGTATGAGCACGACACCCCAAGTCACCGTCTGACTTTCTAATAAAGACAAAAGGCCAAAAATGAAAAGGAAAAACCAACAAAGAGCCTCTGGACATCTGTTGTTGAAGACGACACTTTTCCAAGAGTTTGTGAGGCGCAGACGTGAGCAGAACAACATGTCGGCGCACAGCGGGGATGAAACCAGGCGAGACGGCTCATTTAATTGACTTGCCAGGCAAAGGACAAGCCATGAAAGATGGTCAGCTTTGTCTAAATTGTCCCTGAGTTATCTAATCAATGTGACTGTTTAAAGGTTGTCTGATATTTAATTCTGAGCACGTGCTCTACAAGTCAAACACAGACATCCAGAGTGAGTCGGCACAGCTGGAGGAAACGTTCAGAGGCTTCGCTGCTCAACAGGTGCATGTCTGCACGAGTGGTTCAACATGTTAGTCCTGCAGCAGCTGATTGTACTGCTTGTTTTTGATGCTTCTGTTGCTCTCGTAGCTTTATTTCATAGATGTTTCTATTGGTAAGTGATGAGTTTACTATAAAACAGGCTAGGATGTAAATATTGCATAGTTATTTAGTCTTTTTCATCAGCAAAACATACTGAACAAAAATATAAATGCAACACTTTTATTTTTGCTTCCATTTTTCATGAGCTGAACTCAAAGATCTAAACTTTTTTCTATGTCCACAAAAGGCCTATTTCTCTCCAATATTGTTCACAAGTTTGTCTAAATCTGTGTCAGTGAGCACTTCTTTGCCAAGATAATCCATCCACCTCTTAGGTGTGGCATATCAAGATGTTTATTAGACAACATGATTACTGCACAGGTGTGTCTTAGGCTGGCCACAATAAAAGGCCAAAGTAAATAGTCAGTTTTATCACACAGCACAATGCCACAGATGTCATAAGTTTTGAGCTAGCATGCAATTGGCATGCTGACTGTAGGAATGTCCACCAGAGCCATTGCCCACGAATTAAATATTCATTTCTCTACCACAAGCCGTCCAAAGGTGTTCCAGAGAATTTGGCAGTACAACCGGCCTCACGACTACAGACCACGTGTAACCACACCAGCCCACGACCTCCACATCCAGCATCTTCACCTCCAGATCGTCTGAGACCAGCCACTCATCTCGGCAAAGGAGAAGTGCTCACTAACACAGATTTAGACAAATTTGTGAACAACGTTTGAGAAAAATGGGCCTTTTTTGTACATAGAAAAAGTCACAGATATTTGAGTTCATCTCATAAAAAATGGGAGCAAAAACAAAAGCGCTGTGTTTATATTTTTGCTAAGTGTATGTTGAATAGTAGCACAGTGTTGTTAAAAAAATAAAAATAAAATGAGAGTAACATTTGTTCATTTTGAACATGATTTTGTTTCAAAATCTGTCATCTGTGTACCTTATTGAAAAAAATTGTCATTTAAAGTTGTACATTTTATCTTTCAGTATAGTTTTGAAGAGGTTGTTTGGTATTGAACTTGTCTTGCTTTGATATAGCTTTATATGAGGTATGAAATTTTCAGTTTTACTTCAACACAATCGATGGCATAATTTACCCCGACATATTTTCCTCCAAAGGCTCAATTCAGCCCTTGCAAGGGCAAGTTGGAAAATTGTTTGGCAATTGTTAAAACTTCCATTTTATTAAGATTCTGCCATTCATAATACAGAAGATAGTGCTTACTGCAATTGCAAGACTCAGTGTACGTGCAAACCATTGTGAGAGCTCAGACAGTCGTTTTCATACATTACAGCTTTAGAAGCTTACAGGGTTACTACAACCATAAAGCTGATCTGTATAGAGCAGTCACTGCATGCTATCTAAAATCCCAGACAAAGAAAGTTTTACTCGCAAGTCTTTGTGCTCCATCCATCCATCCATCCATTTTCTTCTGCTTATCTGGGGTTGGGTCGCAGAGGAAGCGGGTGGAGCAGGTCATCCCAGACTTCCCTCCCCCCGGCGACGCTTTCCAGCTCATCCTGGGGGATCCCAAGGCATACCCAGACCAGCCGAGAGATATGATCCCTCCAGCAGGTTCTGGGTCTGCCCCAGGGTCTCCTCCCTGGTTGACATGTTCAGAAGACCTCCACAGGAAGCCTCCCCGGAGGCATCCGAATCAGATGTCCAAACCACCTCAACTGGCTCCTTTTGACGCGAAGGAGCAGCGGCTCTACTCCGAGCTCCCTCCAGATGTCTGAGCTCCTCACCCTATCTCTAAGGCTGAGCCCAGCCACCCTGAGGAGGAAGCTCATTTCAGCTGCTTGTATCAGCGATCTCGTTCTTTTGGTCACGACCCAAAACTTGTGACCATAGGTGAGGGTTAGGACGTAGATGGACTGGGATGCCCACATTACTGCTGTGCACTGAGCCGCCTGTCCATCTCGTGCTCCATTTTCATGTCACTCGTGAACAAGATCCTGAGATACTTAAACTCCTGCCTATAGGTAGCAATCCACCGGTTTCTGGCAGAGGACCATGGCCTCCTCCTTGGAGGTACTGATCCGCATCCCCGTCGCTTCGCACTAGGCTGCAAACCGCTCCAGTGAGTGCTGAAGGTCACGGTCTGATGAAGCCAACAGTACCATGTCATCTGCAAAAAGCAGAGACGTGATCCTGAGGTCCCCAAACTGGACACCCTCCTCACCCTGGCTGCGCCTTGAGATTAGATTAGATTAGATTAGATTAGATCAGATTAGATTAGATCAGATTAGATTACATGATTACATGGAACTTTATTGATCCCTTCGGTAGGGTACCTCAGGGAAATTGTTGTTCTAGCAGCAACACAATACCAATAAAGACACTGGCACACATCATTAAGAAAAATACAGTGTCAAAAGAACAAACTGGAAGCAAACTGCTAGATAGGACAGCAGCACGTAATAATAATAATAATAATAATAATAGCAATGTAAATACATAATCATGATAATAATACTACCGATAATAGTAATATGCTATATAATATGATAATTCTTAGGCTAGCCATCCGCTCCCTGGGGTCCCAGATTGTAAAAATTAAAAAAAAAACAACTACAATTTACAAAACATTAAAAAAAATCATAATAAATAGCAAACATTTCATTTATAATGCAGCTCGGTACAAAGCAGTAAATGGATTACAATAAACTGTAAATATAACACTAATACAGAGGAAGAATAGTCACGTATTCTGTGCCTATTGTCTCTTTATTTTCCTCTTAAAAGATCCTTCTGTATATTTTTAGTGTCTCTGATCTGTAAAGAAAGTGAATTCCATGCTTTTGCAACTCTGTAAACTATAGTTCTTTTTTTGGGGACGACCAAAGTACTGACATGTGCTGCCTGCCATTGGGAGCAACTTCAGGTTCAGTGGCTGGGGATTGAACCACCAACCTTGTGATTAGAGGACAACCTGCTCTACCACCTGAACCACAGCCACCTGTATTCTAGGTCACTAGGCGAGTCACATAACTGTGACAAAACCCACTGAATAAGAGTTTTTCTGTTAAAAATCTGGGCTCTCTCTTTGCCAGAAGTTTTTGCATGAACATCAGAAGACTGGCTCTTAATTCCACCTTGTTTTCATTCCAGCGTATGATCCGGTACAACACCAACACCAACACAACCAGGCCCAACATGTTCTCTACTCTGCTCCACAGAGAACTGATGAAGAAAGACATTCTTTTATTTTGATGATGATGATGATGAACAAAGCCATTCTCTTTTCTTTTGCTGATCACCAGACCTTTGATCTCATCACCTTTGTCATGTGTTCTCCTACCTCCTGTCATTTGATTAGCAGCTGTATGTTAATTTACCAATAATGCAC